ATTTAAAAAAAAAAAAAAGAAAAAAAGAAACCCCCCCATAACACAACACAAAAACCAAACAAACCAACCCAAACCCAGCAAACAAACAAAAAACCAGGAGGAATACCTGCAGAGTTAAGAGAAGTCAAAAGAGGGGAGATTCAGGTTGGACGTGAGGATGAGAGTTTTTTTCATGAGGGTGATTAAATACTGGCACAGGTTCCCCAGAGATGTGGTGGATGCACCATCCCTGGAGACATTCAAGGCCAGGCTAGATGTCATTCTGGGCACAGTTGAAGCTGAAGGTGTACCTGCTCATTGCAAGGGCATTAGACTAGATGACCTTTGAACATCCCTTCCAACCCAGACTATTCTAGGATTCTATGATTAAGGGGAGCTAATGGGCTTGTCTCTGGAAAAAGGGCACCATTTCAATTCTTTTTCCTTCTTCCATATTCTCACCTCACCTTTTTCCCTTTTTTTCTTGTTTTCTTTTTGATTGCTTCCATTCAGTTCATTGCTGATACACAGCCCCACCCAGCAGCCCTACAAGCTTTCATGGGAAAACTCAATTTGTATGCCTGTGCCAGACCTTCCCAGGATGAAAGACTATTAGAATTATGTGTATTAATACACCTACAAATTGCTTCTAACTAAATTTATAAAAAAAGCATTGCAGCCTGATCTCAAACAAAATTATCTGTGTTTGGCAAGGGGAGAAGGGAAAGTTGCTCCATGTCACTGGTTAAATAAAACAGTGCAATTCATCACATTCATATTTCTCCCCTTTTAAAATAGAAATACTTGAAGCACAAACAAAACCACAGAACTCAGATGCAGCATAATCCCAAGGAAACTTCACTTGAGTTCACAGTCACCCAAAAGAAAGAAAGAAAGCCTATAGTAAAATCATGCAGGTTTTCTCCTTCAACATTAAATCTACAAAAAGTGGGGAGAAAAAAAGCCTTAACAAATCTGTTGGGTTTGGTCACACAAAAGAAGAAGGGGCTACTGCCCTTCTTTTTGCAACAATTATCTAGGCTTTTTTTCGGTAACCAAAGTGACAACTGCAATCCACAGGCTGATTAAACAGTAGAAAAGTACTTTTAGGTAAAATAAAGTTGCAACATTTGGACAGAAGACAGGATTCTGAGGAAAGTGTAGGATTTAGAGTCATTCCTCATTGCTGAGTACTCTGTTCTTCAGACGTTCTTCAGTGTTAGTACATAAGATCCTGTAGGTGAGATTCACTGCATTGAACTTCAGCCACCTAAAAATCAAGCAACTTGGCTACAGATCAGTATCCTCTAGGTTTCCTCAAGAGCCAACTGAGTCATCTACATCTCTCCAACAGGCAACTCATCCAAACACTGGCATCAAATCTATCCCTGGTGCCTACAGGGGGAGACCAAGTAATTGTCTTAGCCTAGGCACATCAGTTTTCAACAGCTGAAGACAGATCATGATAAACCACATCCTTACAATTGAAGGTAAAGCAAGAAAAACTGGAAACAAGGAAGCTACAAATATTGGTGCAGCCTAGTTTCAAACAGTCTGCTTCTAAACCAGCCTGTGCCCTGGAGGCTTATCACTGAGATCTTGTATCTTTTCTGCTTCTCCTCTCTCACTCTTCCAAGCACACAAACAGATGTCTTTAAAGACAATCCAAGTATCTTGAAACCAATTTATTCATCAGACACCTTCAAATTTTAAGGATCCATTCAAACGTTTTAGTACAACAGCTCTACTGTATAGGCCCTTGTGCTCCCAGCAATACCCCACGATACCTCAATTTTATTTCTTTTTGACCTTTAATTAGTGCTACTGTACAGATGGTTATAGAAAAAGTTACACTAGGCAAGAGATCAGCTCAGGGCAAGTCACACAGCATCAGGGCTGGACCATGAACAAAATTCAGGTGTCTCAAATAGTCAAGGTGCCCCCTTGACTATTTGAAAGCATTCAAAATCTAACAAGGAGAAATGTAATACTACACAGAACAGATTTAGATGCTACTTTTTCCAAGTAGTTGTAAAACACGAGTAAATTGTCTTATTTTTTCAGGATATCTGGCAATCCAGGGTGCTGTGTAAAATGAAATGAAAGAAATATCCCTCTAAACTTCAGTGGTTTTGTTAGCAACGATTCTGGCATTAGTGCAAAAGATTTGCAATGTTACAATATAAGAAACAGGCTTGATACCAATTGTTTTCTGCAGAAAAGCATGGAGACATATTAGGAACTGGAAGGGTATCTAAACATTCTGCAAAACTTCATTAAAGGCAAATGCTGGTAAGTGGAGTATAAGATGACATGATCCCAAGAAGTTATATGGTACCTCCAAGAGTAAAAAATAACTAAGATATTCATATAGTGGCAGTTTTATTATGGAGCTGTATTTATACCCACACTTTAAGGAGCAAGCTATGGTGCACTCCAGGCACCCAATCCAACTGCAGCTGAGTTGCTCAGGACCACAGCCCTCAGATATGCACATCTGACTCTGCAGCAAGTAAGCTGGTTAAAAATCACAGGCATTGCAGTACTAACACAATTACAACATATGTTTTAGATATGAAGTATAAAGTCATGGTGCTAAAGATATGCAAGTTAGATTCCAGACCACATTCTGTCCTCCCTCACTCCACCTTTGCATCACCAATAGCCCTCTGAGTCAGCAAACTTAGACCACTCAGCAGTGATTTTACACAAGTTATCATCAGGTGACTTCAGGTCATACATCTGTTGTTCATCCTGGTACCTGGAAAGAATGGCATCAAACAGCTACTCATACTAATTACATGAAGCCTACACGACTTGCACTTCTCTGACTTGGTGCTCTAAACTTGTATCTAATATTTTTGTTTGGGGTGGTTTGTTTTTTTTTTTGTTGTTGGTTAGTTGTTGTGTTGTTTTTACTGCAGAAGCACTATTGTGTTAGTTGGACCTTCTTTATGCCTATAATTGTATATTGTGTAATACAGCAGGGACTTCAAACTGGGTCAAGGGCCTCAAGGCCAACTGTCAAAATACCCAATTACAATATACAACTAAATACTGAAGAGAGTCAGATAATCAGCTTGAGTATACAAGATGCCTAGTATGGCTTAGGGAGCCACAGTGATATGTGGAGTACTGTAAAATAAAGCAATATGCTACACACCTCCTTTGAAATTAATTTCTTTGGGAAAGTCTAATTCTCCTTCAATATCAATGTCTTGCCCACAAATGGCAAAGAGCAGTACAGAGCACATTTTATTTTTTCTGTCCTCATTTCCATAGATTCTGAATAGCCCACAGTTACAAAATGGGAAGGGAAAAGAATTATATTTATGGTAATATAAATTCCAAGCATGCAGTGAAGGGCACATAGCACATCTGCCACCGCCTGAAAACTGTATATGGGAAGGGAGCAATGCCGAAGTAGGGAAACCCAGCATAAGAATGGGACTTATCAAAAAGCCTTAGCAGTTTTGTACAAACATACTGTACTATTTTAAGCATCGGACAAATAGCTGAGCTAATTCACTAAAGGCAATGCTATCTTGCTAATATACAATGACTTCTGTCAATTTTGTTCTCATAGGATGCTTCAAAGCAGGAGCTGAATGGCTCACTGCACAAATTAATATACACCTATTTAAAAGAATCATTCCACGTTACATCAAACAAGCCACTGTTTAGGTTACCATTCAAGCTAGTTGATGATGTGTTTTATTTTTTCCTTCTCAGTTATGCATTGCCACTTTGAAGACAAAAACATTAAGAAGAAATTCATGAAACCGTACACTAGGATTTAAAACCATCAGACCTGTAATTAGAGACTTCTTGGGCCTATACACATTTAGAGTTTCTGTGGTGAAACCAAAGCCCTGTAAGATGGAGATGTTTGCTTTGCTGTGCATAGGTAGCAAGGAGAGAAATCTATTGCAAGGATTAACTATTCACATTTCTGTTTCCACAGGCAAACACAAATGGTACTTACTATGACTAAAGCTTATGGGTGCTGTACAAGGTTTCCCTTTTGGTTTAATTCAAACATGTCAATTCCTTCCCAACAGGAAAGCATCTTCAACTCAACACAGAACAAAACCTGGGCTCACGACTTTGTGCAAGACTGAACGTAACTGGTCCACTGACAATACATGAGGATTATATCATACATGAAGCAGCCGCAGTGCAGAGAGGATTAAGCATTAAAGATGCTTTTTTTTACACCTGTAGAAGACAAGAAAATCTTTAAAATTTTGTGTCTTAAGTACAGGACAAGAACACCTGACAAATTAGTTAACGGAGAGATTTGTCTTGAGGCTCTGAATGTGGCACTAGTGTCTGCTCCATCAGAATATCAAGCATGGCAGACAGTGATATTCATTCCGAACTTGTATCACTGCCTCTCTAAATGACAGATATTAAATGTGTCACAGTGCTTTAACTTTGTATGACCAGAACTAGGCAATCACGATTTCATCACAGAGTCAGAGACTGCAGTCTCATGACCCTCTGTGTGATGTGAACAGAACATACAGAAAAAACCTTATTCTAAGTGCTTAGTAAGAGGTCATCCATGCAAATAAAATGGATGAAGCAGCATGTCAAAGCATATCTAGAGAGGTGCAAGTCATTCAAGTATTCCATGGGACCATACGGTGCTATGGCCATTTGCATTAATGTATTCTGGGTATAAAGCATTACCATTTCAAATCTACACACACTTTAAACTGATGTAAATTATTATACAAAGAAAATGAGAGGACAGCTGTGATTCATTCTAACGTGCAACATTACATCCAAGACCTAGAACTGAAGGCCATCTTCACTAGGAAAAGTAGTAGATGATAAAAAGTTCAGTGATGAATGCAGAAGCAAGAATCTGAAAAACTCAAACTGTGTAACAGTACTACATGTAGCTTTCAAAGCACTAAGCAAATCATAGGGCAGGAGAAAGTACAGACATATGGCAAGCTGAGCAACAGCATGCAAGTGAAATGGTGCTTCCTCCTACTTCTCTGGCTGGTCAGAAACAAGAGATCCCACTGGGCTCTCAAAAAAGAGCAGCTAGGATGGAAAAGATTTTGGAAATGCTTTGGTGCTCAACATGTTTTATAAAGCAACTCTTTGTGTGATACACTGGCCTATTTACAAGTACACAGATTTAAGGTGATCATGCAGACCAAGCTATATAAAAAATACTTACAATACAACAAAAGGTAAAAAAAAATTCCATATGGTCACATATACCTTCAATTTCTTCTTACCTGACTGCTGTTTTCTTCCCCTGAAGGGCTGTTTGCACTGAACAAAAGTGAGCATTCTGGGGTTTACCTCTGAAGGTGTCCTTTTCTGCAGAACACAATTCTCTAACTCAGAACCAAGAAGTAAAATGCGTAAACCTTCCATATGGACATCTTCTGTAAAATAGCTTTATGTTTAAATGGGCTTCAGTTTGGACTTCTCCCCTTTCATTTTCCCTTACCTATTGCAAGGCTGCATTTTACTCAAGTTAAGAGACACATGATATGAATATGCATTACTGTTGAGTGAAGTCTAAAAAAAACTTGCTTATTGATATTAAACAAGGGAGGGCTTTTTTCCCATGCTTAACAAGAAATCTGAGGTGAAGTCCAGAAGTCATAAGCTGAAGCGTTCAAAATGCAAAAAGAAAATATCAAGGAAACAAATGGTCACTGAATTTCTCAGTTTCCTTCTTACTCATTAAACTAGTAGATTTCTCACAGCTACGCAAACTTTGCCTCAGAACAGAAGTAGTTGCAACTCAGCAGTAATTTTTTTAGGATGCCTTACTTTGCAAAGTTTCAAGTTATAATCTCTTACAGTAACACAATGGCTCAGATGACAGCTCCCCTGCAAGTGTCGCAGTGCAGTTTTAACAGTGACAGCACTGTAGTACCATGTGTACCTGTGAGAGCTTTAAAATACCTAGCTTGATACAAGCTATAGCATAGCTGTAGTCTGAGAGTTCAGGAGGAACTAATCCTCCCTTCTGGGCAGGATTTGTGGATTACTTTTCCCCTGTGCTGCAACTGTTGTACTTGAGTTAACCTACTTGTATCTCGTTCAAGTGTGCCTATACCACACTGTACTGTAGTGCAAGCGCACATCTAATAAAGCTCCTATGGGTCATTGTGCCTTGTCTGTCTGTCTCAGTTTTTGTGCCTATATTTATAGGGATCCTCATACTTGCCACTGTGTTGTGGTCTAAGTGGGGAAACCCAAGATCTACTCAGGTACAACAATGGTTGGATCATTTGAGCACCTAGAAAAAGATCAAAAAGTAAATGACTTAGTAATATCCCCTCATTAACATTGCTGACACTCAAAACCATTATTCCCCTCTATCTCATACAACAGTTCAGTGAACTAACAGCATCCCTTTCAAAGAAGAAAATAGAGGGATAGCTGACAGAGTTGTGAAAAAAGAAAGCAAGCAAGAAAAAAAAAAAGAATATATAGACAGCTGTATTAAATCCCATGATTCAGACTTCAAACACAGGCCTTGAAGAGGTTTATTTCAAGAGTATGAACCAAAGGCAAGTCATATTTGCTCAAAGGGGCAGATGAAATGCTTTTACCTGGGATTGGTCCTGCAGGGCTGGGCTTAACTTTCAATTGCAAGTTAAACAGTAGCTGAATAGTGAATAAAAATACTTAAAAAGGAAAGCAAACACACACACACACACAAAATGCAAAGTAATACCACCACAAACTGCACCCTCAATCCCATCTACATGGCTAAGCCGTTTCTCTGATGTCAGAGTGGGTTTCCAGAGTCTACTGTAAAGCAGAGCCCAGCTGTTACAGGTCTTCTGATTTCTTAAGGGTTAGATAAAGATCAGAAACTTTCGCCATATCTCCCAGTCAAGAAACTTACGTAAAGAGCCAGATAATGTTTACCAGATGGGAGACACAAATCCTTCCTTTACCACCAAAGATCAGGAAGATCAGGCCCTTAGGAGTAACTTCTCTATTTTTCTAGCTACAGTTTTAGAGAAAGTTTCTTTCTGGAAAGAAAATAAGCAAATGGTCAATACTGGGTATAAAAAAAAGTAGTGGGAGAAAAGGCTTTGTCAGGAATAATTGAAAAACTAAGCATCATACTGTAAGAATTAAAAATGGTCAGGAAGAGTATCAAAGCAGGCAGCTTCAAAAACAAAAAAGTACCCAGAAGGCAGGGTTGGATCTGTTTCTCCAAACATCAGTTCAAAATCATACATGGCTGCTGAGTGAAGTTTGGAGGAATTGCTTGCTGATACTAAGCAAAGGAATAGTTCTGTCATCAGTAGCTGTTAAAAGCAAAGACTGGTTTGCTTAGATAGAAACAGATTTTGACATACATACTTTTCTGGTGCAGAACAGAGATTCTGGGCTTTTATATTTTTACACCTGTAAGGACAAATTTCACTCTATTCTGATTTACTTTATCAGCTAAACTGTTTAACTACAAACCCATAATTCTAAAATAAAATAAAAAAATAGAAAGTTGAGTTTCAGTACTGAGCTGGCAAAACTGGAGCACTTTGAGCAATACACAGAGCTAAAGAGACCCTAGCCCTAAAGTGGAATGGAGTATATATGGGTGTTCAAACACACCTTTTACAAACTCAGGCCATTTAGTCAGGGAATAACCCTGCTGCCGCTATAGCTCCTGCACATTTCTACCTTCACCCTCCTCTGTGGGTCAGACGTCCATATGCTTAACTCTTGAGACCACTCAAAAGAGTGTCCTGAGATGAAAAACTCCTGCAATTCACCCTGCAGAGATATTTACTGAAAGTTTCTGATCTAGTGTATTTTTCTGGACCCTGGCAAAATAGCCATAATGAAAACATGCATCAGGTGCAGGGATATTGAGGTTTGAATGCAAAATCTGTCTTTGGCACAGTGACAGAAAGAACAGCTGATGGGCAGAGGGATTCAGAGGCACCATGCCAGCTCCAGAAGGTCAGAGAACCAGAACAGACAACACAAACTGGGTCCCTGAGATGCTGTTTGGCACTATCCCATCTGATCCTCTGCATAACCTCAGGGAGAAGAAACTTGCTGGAATCAAGACAGGAATATGTAGCACCATTTGGGAAGAACGGTATCTGCCAAAGATCATAGAATCATAGAATACCTAGGGTTGGAAAGGACCTTAAGATCATCTAGTTCCAACCCCCCTTGCCATGGGCAGGGACACCTCACACTAAACCATGCCACCCAAGGCTCTGTCCAACCTGGCCTTGAACAACACCAGGGATGGAGCATTTACCACCTTTTTCGGCAACCCATTCCAGTACCTGTCGTGGTTTAAACCCAGTCAGGTAATTCGTTCGCTCACTTCCCCCCCACCCCTTTCTTGCCCTCCCCCTGCTCTCGGAGGGACGGAGAGGAGAATCGAAAAGAATGCAACTCCCACGGGTTGAGATAAGAACAGTTTAGTAACTAAGGTATAACACAAATCACTACTGCTACCACCAATGATAATAATGATAAAGGAAATAACAAGGGAAGAGAATACATCATCTCACCACCAGCCGACTGATAACTCGCCCCCCCCCAGCCCGACCAAGCTCCGACCGATACCTCCTCCAACCCTGCAGTCTCCCAGCCCTTCCGGCTAACTCCCAGTTACATCCTGGGCATGACGTGCTGTGGTATGGAATACCTCTTTGGTCAGTTTGGGTCAGGTGTCCTGTCTCTGCTTCCTCCCGGCTTCCCCTCCTCCCTGGCAGAGCATGAGGCTCACAAAGTCCTTGGCCAAACCAAAACATCGCTTGTTATCAGCTCTGTTCCCGAGCTGAAAGTCAAAACATTGCACTGCACCAGCTACCAAGAAGGGGAAAAATGACTGCTACTGCTGAACCCAGGACATTATCCACCCCTTATTCCATACCATTCACGTCATGCTCAGATCCCCCATTTTCAATATACTCTTATCTTAGTGCATGGACCAGTCCCTATAAAGCTGCTGAGTCCATCTGGTCCATGATGTCAGGCTCCATCTCTTGTAACAGTCTTCCAGAGCAGGAGAGACTGTGTGCAGTGTTCACACTCGTGAATAACCTGGGCAATAGTGTCCATTGCTAAGTCCACCCCTCGATCATGAGTCCATCTCTGTGTTGCATCTCTGCTCTGATGGCCTGAAGCGCCATGGGCCCACCAGGCTCAAAATAATTCACTGTCCCCTTAAGCAGTTTCTGCAGCTTGTTGTTGGGGACTCCATACAGCTGCCTTCCATCTCCGATGCTTCCAAAGCACTGGAGGGGCCCAGTGGACTAGATACTTGCCCATACTGTCCCACACACCCTGCCACTCATCACTGTCCAGCCTTGGGGAAAATCTCCTGGTCCCACTATATCGTTGTCTAACCCCAGACAAGACCCAAACCTGACTCTGCTTAACTTTTGAGATCAGACAAAATGGTTGTGGGTAGAACACAGCCTGTGTGTGTGCCAACATGCTGATCCCCATCACAATCAGCAGGCAGGTACCAAGGACACCCAAAGGCCATTCAAAACCTTCAGAACTCTCAGTTGATGCTGCTGTACTTGTCACTGGGGCTGGTGCAGCTGCTGTGCTTGCCGGCTCTCCCACCGCCAGCTTCTCTTTTCCTGAGTCCAGCTCTTCCTCCTCTGCCTTGCTGGGAAATGCTGCGTGGTCTCCTGCATCCTCCTGGGGCTCGGCGGGCGGCTGCCGGGGAATGCTCTCGGCCGTCGCGGGGCTGGGCTCGGCCGCGGGGCTCGGCTCCTCCGCGGGGCTCGGCTCCTCCGCGGGGCTCGGCTCCTCCGCCGCCTTCTCCCGCTGCTCGGCAGCCCCTTCCTTCTGCTCCTCGACCGCCCCGACCTCCTCCACCGGCAGCCGTCCCCTCGCGGCCTCCGGCCCCGCTCCTGCCGCCGCTTGGTCCCCGGGGCCGCTCTCCCGGGCCGCTTCGGCTGCCGCCGGCTCCCGGGGCCGCTCCCCCTCGGCTCCCCGCAGCCTCACGAAGATGGAGAGTAGGGTGAGGGCCAGGACGGTGAAGAGCAGCCGGACGGCCACGTACAAGTCCAAGGCCACGTCCGTCCCGCCCTGCTGCTGGAGCCCGCCCGTATTACAAGCCATTGCCATAAAGCACAGTGAGACAAGAACCTTAGCCCAGGCCCCATACTTGATAAACACTATCACAGCAAATACCGGCTCTACGTAAGTTACAACATTCTGAAGCTGTGAGATCAAGAGAAAGAACTCTGAGAGCCAATAAATCGTCATTGTGATGAGTGACTATTAATCCAGTCAGATCTGTCGTTATCTCAACCCTTCGTGCCCCACGTTGGGCGCCAAAAAGAACTGTCGTGGTTTAAACCCAGTCAGGTAATTCGTTCGCTCACTTCCCCCCCCCTTTTCTTGCCCTCCCCCTGCTCTCGGAGGGACGGAGAGGAGAATCGAAAAGAATGCAACTCCCACGGGTTGAGATAAGAACAGTTTAGTAACTAAGGTATAACACAAATCACTACTGCTACCACCAATGATAATAATGATAAAGGAAATAACAAGGGAAGAGAATACATCATCTCACCACCAGCCGACTGATAACTCGCCCCCCCCAGCCCGACCAAGCTCCGACCGATACCTCCTCCAACCCTGCAGTCTCCCAGCCCTTCCGGCTAACTCCCAGTTACATCCTGGGCATGACGTGCTGTGGTATGGAATACCTCTTTGGTCAGTTTGGGTCAGGTGTCCTGTCTCTGCTTCCTCCCGGCTTCCCCTCCTCCCTGGCAGAGCATGAGGCTCACAAAGTCCTTGGCCAAACCAAAACATCGCTTGTTATCAGCTCTGTTCCCGAGCTGAAAGTCAAAACATTGCACTGCACCAGCTACCAAGAAGGGGAAAAATGACTGCTACTGCTGAACCCAGGACAGTACCTCACCACCCTCACAATAAAGAACTTCCTCCTTATATCCAATCTAAACTTCCTCTGGTTCAGTTTTAACGCATTACCCCTTGTCCTATCACTACAGTCCCTAATAAAGAGTCCCTCCTCAGCATCCCTATAGACCCCCTTCAGATACTGGAAGGCTGCTATGAAGTCTCCACGCAGCCTTCTCTTCTCCAGGCTGAACAGCCCCAACTTCCTCAGCCTGTCTTCATACGGGAGGTGCTCCAGTCCCCTGATCATCCTTGTGGCCCTCCTCTGGACTTGTTCCAACAGTTCCATGTCCTTTTTATGTTGAGGACACCAGAACTGCACACAATACTCCAAGTGAGGTCTCACAAGAGCAGAGTAGAGGGGCAGGATCA